ACCTTTTGCAAAGTGCAAAGCCTGTTATGATAATGCTATTAGTATTTAACAGCATTGATATTGCTGACTGGTATGTGAATTTTTATGTGATGTTATTTTAATACAATAATGTTACTTCAGACTTGTAATGAATTTGGATGGTTTTCTGTTGAGTATATAATTCACTTGCATGCATAAAAAACAAAGCAGGATAGATAGGAGCCCATCACGCTGATGTTGTTGTTCTTCTTCTTTCAGCTGCTATCGTTAGGGGTCGCCACAGCAGATCATTGATCTGCATATTTGATTTGGCACAGTTTTTACCCTGGGTGCCCTTCCTGACGCAACCCTCCCCAATTTTATCTGGGCTTGGGACTGGCACTGAGAGTGCTTTGTCGTGGTTCCCTGGCCAGGGATCGAACCTGGGCTGTAGCAACGAGAGCACTGTGGCCCAACCACTAGTCCTCCAGGGACCTAGGTGCTCATAACATTGATAAAGCTGGTTAAATGCTGGTAAATTAAAAACAGAGTAATAATAAAGTAAAAATGGCACCCTGATCACTGGCATCAATCTGGAGCGGGAAGGTTTTAGTAAAATCAGGTGGAATCGGGATATGGGCTGTTTTCAAAGACTATTTAATGTCCTCATGATCTCCTACATTCCCATGTCCATTCCCAGGTAACATTCTTCTTTTTGAGGGCGTTAAGGGCTGCAACACTTTCAGAGAACATAGGGTGAACTGGTTGTACTAGCCTGCTAGCTCCAAGATCCTCAACCTCCAAGAAGGCTCACACTGCTTCTTTTCTGCATCTCTGTTCATATTCTGAAGACTGATGCCACATGCCTCAAGGATTTCCTGCACCTGTGGCATGGAATATGCATGCGTGTTTTAGAGAGTCTAAACCTACAGTTGCTCATAATATAGAAAGTCTGGAGAATGTAGTGATTGGTCAGTTCACAGTCAAGCTTGACCAAGCCTGTCGCACCTTGAGGTTGAACAGAGCATGGTCTGTCTTCTGCTGGGTGCAAATTCCTCTTTGGCTTCATTATTCACCTCCCAGAAGGTTTCTTGGATGAAAAGTGGAAGAGTTAGTGTTCTTACCTAAGTGACTTGGAATGACCTTGAATGACCTGGAACATGCTTAAAGGATTTGGGTAGTTGTGGTCTTTCTCCAGCAGCGTCTTGCTGTGCTTTACTTAAGTAACCCTTTGTAGCAGACAGATGATGGTCCAGTGTACCTCACCAGCTCATATACAGAGTTTGCTGTTTTCCTCAGCAGACTCACCAACTGTGGGTCACAGTTCCTACGGATGGCCTGTAGCAGTTCTCTTACTTTCATCTGAGACACATATTCACATTTTTCAGTGAATGTGACTTAACTCGAACTGGATTGATGGTCTCAAAGGCAAGCTGCTCAGGTTGTGGAGGATGCAGCTTGGTTGAGGTGTTGTGGAAGAACTGGCCATTGGGTGCATCATTGATAGTAGAGTTGAGGTTATAGGAGTGAGCTTGAAGATGTTCTCCAGTTGCCTGTTGCTTCTCTTGAAATACTCTAACATTGATTACCGTAGCTATTTCCATGTCTATGACATTTTTTAATGACATTTTTTCTAATTTATAAATCAGCTTCTCCAGTCTTCTGGCCTAATCCTTCTTCCATGGACTTTAGCCAGCCCCCCAGCTCAGCAGCACTCACAATGCAGCAAAGGCTTTCTTGCAGCTTGTTTTCCAGGCTATTAAGTCTTTTCTCTATAGCCAGCTTGCTCTGCCAGGTTGAGTTGATTGTAGTCATTGGGTGGGTGGTGGTGGTGGTGGTGGTGGTGGAGGAGGTAATGGCCACTCTGGAAGATCTCTCTTTTTCTCCTACTTGGACTTTATGTAAAGGTGACTGAGATTGTCAGTGATGTCACCTACAGCATTCCTTTGGGTTACAGTTGGCATGGCAGTGAATTGCACTGTGGAGAGGATACCTCCACTGCCTCAAGTTGCTGAGCCATCATGTTAGAAAGGAGCAACAGTAGTAGACAGAGAGAATAGAAAAGTGACCAATGTCACTGGACAACATGTAGTATAAATTAGGAAAAGTTACTGTCATTCATTCCATATGCAAGTATAGAGTAGAACGAAATACCATTCTCCAGTACAGAGAATAGGTTATACGAAAGTCACCACAGTGTAGTACAAGTAAAGTCTTATCATTACAACTAGCAATATAACAACATAATTGTACAAATTGAACAATCCCTGATTATTATGAGTAAAGTCTATTGTGCTGTTCCTGTATGTCAGGTAGTACTGGTATAGGTGGTTGGTACGTAGTGACATTCCTTAGTAACATATATATGGTATGATAATGAATAATATATGATGTGAATATGATAGGATGTATGAATAATCCAGAGGACAGATTAACTTGTGAGTGAAGTGGCTAGTTCAGGTGACAGGGTTTGTGCCCCATGGGAGGCAATATGTTATTGATGGTCCTAACAACTTGTACATAAGCTGTTATGGAATGTCAACCTGGTCTGGATACTCTAGTATCTTCTGCCAAATAGCAGAGGAACAAACAGTTTATGGGTGGTGTTGGAATGGTACTGCTGGCTTTACTGGGGCAGCACATAGATGTCCTGTATTGGATGCAGACCGACCCCCTATGATGTTCTCTGCTTTACTATCCACTGCAGTTCTAAGATACGAAATTCACTGAACAAGCAATCACTATCACAAATACAGGCCACCACTATTTTATCTGCTCCCCAGGGTACAATTTACAGTGCAGCAACATAAAGTTACAAAGGGTGAGACTGTCCTGCACCTTCTAAATTAGTGCATATACAGTGAGGGGAAATACAGTCAGGTCCATAAATATTGGGACAGTGACACAGTTTTGGTAATTTTGCCTCTGTACACCACCACAGTGGATTTGAAATGAAGCAGTCAAGATGTGACTGAAGCGTAGACTTTCAGCTTTAATTCAAGGGGTTTAACAAAAATATTGCATTAACCGTTTAGGAATTACAGCCATTTTTTACAGAGTTCCTC